ACACACACACACACACACACAGTCAGTCTTTCTCATGGTGACACATTGGTAATTTGTAACCATGGTGACGCGGCAGCGGCTCTCCTCTGTGCTGAATCGCCTCACTAAATGATTCTTTCACTTCCATCCTTCTCTCCACATGTGTCTGCTGCTCTCATCCCTCCATCCTTCATCCTCCGCTCATTAAACAGACCCCTCACATTCACTCTCTCTCCTTCCTCTTCCGCTTTCTCCATCATTACAGGCTAGCAGATCCTTTATTAGTTCGTATGTCTGTCTTTCTTTCTGTTCCTTCTCTTCCCTTCCTTTCTTCCATTTCTTTCCTTCCTTCCTTCCTTCCTTCCTTCCTTCCTTCCTTCCTTCCTTCCTTCCTTCCTTCCTTCCTTCCTTCCTTCCTTCCTTCCTTCCTTCCTCCCTTCCTCCCTTCCTCCCTTCCTTCCTCCCTTTCTTCCTTCCTCCCTTCCTCCCTTCCTCCCTTCCTCCCTCCCTTCCTTCCTTCCTTCCTCCCTTCCTTCCTTCCTTCCTTCCTTCCTTCCTTCCTTCCTTCCTTCCTTCCTTCCTTCCTTCCTTCCTTCCTTATTCCTTCCTTCCTTCCTTTCTTTTTTTCATTCCTTCCTCCCTTCCTTCTTTCCTCCTTTCTTTCCTTCCTTCCTTCCTTCCTTCCTTCCTTCCTTCCTTCCTTATTCCTTCCTTCCTTCCTTCCTTTCTTTTTTTCATTCCTTCCTCCCTTCTTTCCTCCTTTCCTTCCTTCCTTCCTTCCTTCCTTCCTTCCTTCCTTCCTTCCTTCCTCCTTTCCTTCCTTCCTTCTTTCCTCCTTTCCTTCCTTCCTTCCTTCCTCCTTTCCTTCCTCCTTTCCTTCCTCCCTCCTTTCCTTCCTTCCTTCTTTCCTCCTTTCCTTCCTTCCTTCCTTCCTTCCTTCCTTTCTTCCTCCTTTCCTTCCTTCCTCCTTTCCTTCCTTCCTTCCTTCCTTCCTTCCTTCCTCCCTTCCTCCTTTCCTTCCTCCCTTCGTTCCTTCCTTTTTTCTTTCTTTTTTCATTCCTCTCTTCCCTTCCTTCCTCCTTTCCTTCCTCCTTTCCTTCCTTCCTTCCTTCCTCCTTTCCTTCCTTCCTTCCTCCCTTCGTTCGTTCCTTCCTTCCTTCCTTCTTTCATTCCTCTCTTCCCTTCCTTCCTTCTTTCTTTCTTTCTTTCTTCATTCCTCTCTTCCTTCCTTCTTTCTTTCTTTTTTCATTCCTCTCTTCCCTTCCTTCCTTTCTTCCTTCCTTTTTTCATTCCTCTCTTCCCTTCCTTCCTTTCTTCCTTCCTTCCTTCCTTCCTTCCTTCCTTCCTTCCTTCCTTCCTTCCTTCCTTCCTTCCTTCCTTCCTTCCTTCCTTCCTTCCTTCCTTTCTTCCATTTCTTTCCTTCCTTCCTTCCTTCTGTTATGTGGGTGAGGAAGGATGAACCCAATAGCAGACAGTAGTCAAGGCAACACGATTTATTAAACAAATAACCGGGAAAACAAAGCCCACGAGGGGGCAAAACAAGACAGGACTACGGTGACTTACTAGACAACGACACTGACAAAACACTAGAAAACAAACAACACTTCAAGAGAAACTAACAAAGACTAGACTTTCAATGACTATCAAAGACAAGACTTTCACAGGGTACTCACAAGTAACATTTGGCAATGAACCGACACAAGACAGCAAACACAAGGGGATTAAATAAGGAGACTAATCAAGACATAACAGGTGACATGGGTGAAGCAATAAAGACTGAAACAGGATAACAAGGGGGCGGGGTTAAGAGACGAGACAACACAAGCACATGGCCTTGACAATTGGCCATGCGCTTGTACACAAAACATTGGTTCTGTCATGATCCTGCCACAAGACCAGGAATAATCAATAACATGATGGCAGAATCATGACACCTTCCTTCCTTCCTTCCTTCTTTTTCCTTCCTCTCTTCCCTTCCTTCCTTCCTTCTTTCTTTCTTTCTTTCATTCCTCTCTTCCCTTCCTTTCTCCCTTTTTTTCTTTCTTTCTTTCTTTCTTTCTTTCTTTCTTTCTTTCTTTCTTTCTTTCTTTCTTTCTTTCTTTCTTTTTTCCTTCTCTTTTCTTCCTTTCTTAAGTTTTCTTTCTTTCTCTCTTTCTTTAGTTTTCTTTCTTTCTTTTTTCATTCCTCTCTTCGCTTTCTTTCTTTCTTTCTTTCTTTCTCTCTTTCTTTTTTCATTCCTTCTCTTTTCTTCCTTTCTTCAGTTTTCTTTCTTTCTTTCTTTTTTCATTCCGTCTCTTTCTTCCTTCCTTCCTTCCACCCTCCCTCCCTTCCCTTTATTTCATTTTCCTTCCCCTTCCTTTCTTCCTTATTTCCTTCCTTTCTTCCTTTCATTTCCTTCTTACTTTCCATCCCTTTATTCCTTATTCTTTTCTTATTTTCATTCGTTCCTTTCTTCCTCCCATCTGTCAGTTCTTCCTTTCCTTCTTTCCATAATTTTCTCCATTCTTTCTTTTTATTTCCTCTCATTAAAATTTATTTCCTTTCCTCCCTTTTCCTTCCTTTCTATCTTTCTATCCATTTCTTCCTTCCTTTTTCATTTCTTCCTTCCACCCGTTGTTTCTTCCCTTTACTTTAATTTCCCCTCATTTACATTCTTCTTCTTTTCTTTCTTTCTTCTTTCACTATATTTCAATCTTTCATTACTTTATTCTGTCCTTTTCTTATTTCCCTCTATCCTTACTTTTTTCTTCTTTTTTATGTCCACTCATTTTCCTTCTTTTTTTCTTTCTTTTTTTCCATCCATCAGTCCGTCCTTACACCCTTTTCTTTCTTCCCTTTCCTTTAATTTACTCATTTCCCACATTTCATTCTTTACTACTTTCATTCCTTATTTCCTTTTCCTTATCTTTTCTTAATTTTTTTCCTGATTTTCCTACTTTTCTTTCCTTTTTTTCTTACTTCCATCCATTTGTCTGTCCATCCGTCCTTCCACCCTTTTCTTCCATCCCTTTCCTTTAATTTACTCACATCTTTCTTTCTTTCTTTCTTTCTTTCTTTCTTTCTTTCTTTCTTTCTTTCTTTCTTTCTTTCTCTATTTCTTTCTTTCTTTCTTTTTTCATTCCTCTCTTCCCTACCTTTCTTTCTTTCTTTCTTTCTTTCTTTCTTTCTTTCTTTCTTTCTTTCTTTCTTTCTTTCTTTCTTTCTTTCTTTCTTTCTTTCTTTCTTTCTCTTTCTTTTTTCATTCCTTCTCTTTTCTTCCTTTCTTCAGTTTTCTTTCTTTCTTCAGTTTTCTTTCTTTCTTTCTTTCTTTCTTTCTTTCTTTCTTTCTTTCTTTCTTTCTTTCTTTCTTTCTTTCTTTCTTTCTTTCTTTCTTTCTTTCTTTCTCTCTTTCTTTTTTCATTCCTTCTCTTTTCTTCCTTTCTTCAGTTTTCTTTCTTTCTTTCTCTCTTTCTTTTTTCATTCCTCCTCTTTCTTCCTTCCTTCCTTCCTTCCTTCCACCCTCCCTCCCTTCCCTTTATTTCCCTTTCCTTCCCCTTCCTTCCTTCCTTATTTCCTTCCTTTCTTCCTTTCATTTCCTTCTTACTTTTCATCCCTTTATTCCTTATTCTTTTCTTATTTTCATTCGTTCCTTTCTTCCTCCCATCTGTCAGTTCTTCCTTTCCTTCTTTCCATAATTTTCTCCATTCTTTCTTTTATTTCCTCTCATTAAAATTAATTTCCTTTCCTTCCTTTCTATCTTTCTATCCATTTCTTCCTTCCTTTTTCATTTCTTCCTTCCGTCCGTTGTTTCTTCCCTTTACTTTAATTTCCCCTCATTTCCATTCTTTTTCTTTTCTTTCTTTCTTCTTTCACTATCTTTCTTTCTTTCATTACTTTATTCTGTCCTTTTCTTATTTCCCTCTATCCTTACTTTTTTTCTTCTTTTTTTATGTCCACTCATTTTCCTTCTTTTCTTTCATTTTTTCCATCAGTCTGTCATTACACCCTTTTCTTTCTTCCCTTTCCTTTCATTTACTCATTTCCCACATTTCATTCTTTCCTACTTTCATTCCTTATTTCATTTTCCTTATCTTTTCTTTATTTTTTTCCTGATTTTCGTACTTTTCTTTCCTTTTTTTCTTACTTCCATCCATTTGTCTGTCCATCCGTCCTTCCACCCGTTTCTTCCATCCCTTTCCTTTAATTTACTCACATCTTTCTTTCTTTCTTTCTTTCTTTCTTTCTTTCTTTCTTTCTTTCTTTCTTTCTTTCTTTCTTTCTTTCTTTCTTTCTTTCCCTTACATAATTTTCCTCCATGGCTTTCCTTTAATATCTTAGTCTCCTTCCTTTCTCTTCCTACCATGTTCCCTCTCTTCCTCCCCTTCCTTTTCCTCTTTTACCCATCTGTCTTCTGAAATGTAAATATAGCAGAAGTAATTCAGAGTAAACTCAGACAGCATATAGCCGTGTTCGTGTTCTCCTGGGTTGTCTTTCCTGCTCGGATCTGTTAGGGAAAAGCTTCAGGCTGATAGTTACACACAAACTCACACGGTAATGGTTACAGAATCTTTGACGGTGTGTGTCTGTGTGTAACTGACAGATGGATTGTGCAGAATGACTTCGTTTGAGTCACAACCGCAGTTCCTCGAACTAACCATGTGTGTATCCATGTTAAAGAGGTCACATCATGGAAAACAAGATTTTCTCTCTTTCTTTCTCAAAGAGTTTGATGCACTATAAAGACATCTTGCTGTTATTCTGTTGGAGAGCATTCTGTATGTTTATCCATCACAGATTCACCCAAAGATTTCATTGCTCACCCACTGGGAGTCATTCCAGTTATTCCTCAGCGTAATGTTGAATCGTACTGTTACATTTTGATCACATGGTTTTTGTATAACGAATATACAAGCAAATGCAAAGCACATGGAGCATTTTAGGTTTATTTTGTGTTTTAAATGCATGGTAGTCCTGAATGTTTACTGTATGTGCGTGCGTATAAACTAACCGTGTGCTGCTTCTCTCTTTCTGTTGGTGTCCAGCTGGACCCAGAGCAGACTGGTTTCATAGCAGTGGAGAATTTCACCAGTCTAGCTGAGCACCATGAGTTACAGCTGGACCCCAGTAAACTGGAGATGCTGCTGGCGCTGGTACAGAGCAACGAACACGGACACGTCTGCTACCAGGAGCTCATAGAACTGGTGAGACGCACACATGCAACGTCCAGGTTTTTTCGATATGTCTGCTGAGAAACACAGTTGTGTTACTGTGTACATTATAAGCTTGCACTGCGGATATGGACTGCACTCATTTGGAGTCATTCAAGAGTCAAATATAAAATAGATACTCACAAATAATGTTCTGCTACAGTACCATATAAAAATTTTTTAAAGGGTAACTAAACCCCTGGTCAGAGCCTGACTCCACCCTCTGGCAATATTTGAAAAATGCTGGAAAAGTGGGCGGAGCCCAGCGGAGATAGAGGGGATGAACGGATACTCTATCCTGATCGTTTTCAATACTCGCAATTCCAACTCCTGACTCGCTACAGTGGTTTTGACGAAACAAGATGGTTTTTATACTGCCATGGACGTGGTAGCTCATACCAAGAGCGTGGTAAGCTGAAACCTGCTTACGTCAGCTCTCACCGCTACCGTCACGAACTACCGCAAACATCCAATAGGAAAATTCAACTGCAGTAGCCACCGTTCAACCTGAAGAGGGCAGCACTCAGACGTTTTTACACCATATATTGTAGAATTAAAACACTTTATACCCAAATGTCAAAAAAGTTACTCGAATCAATGAACAGCACTAATAAAGCCCCAGTCTTACAGATCATTAATTAAAAAAAGTTGGTTTAGTGTTTAGTTACCCTTTAAAGATTTTTTTTAATGTTTTTGAAAGAAGTCTCTTACGCTCACCAAGGCTGCATTTAGTTACTCAGTAGTACTACATTAAAAACAGTATAATTGTGAAATATTATTATGATTTAAAATAACTGTTTTCTATTGCATATATTTTATACTATAATTTATTCCTGCGATCAGAGCTGAATTTGCAGCATCATTACTCCAGTCTTCAGTGTCACATGATCCGTCAGAAATCACTCTGATAATAATAATAAAATGTTTCTTAATCATATTAATGTTGAAAACAGTTGTGCTGCTTCAGATTTTAGTGATACATTGATACATTTTTTTCAGGATTCTTTGATGAATAGAAAGATCAATGAACAGCATTTATTTAAAATTGAAATCTTTTGTAACATTATAAACGTCTTTACAGTTGCTTTTGAATTTATTTATCAATTTAATGCATCCTTGTGGAATAAAATTACCATTAAAAATATAAAAATCTTACTGACCCCAAAACTTTGAACGGTAATATATATATATCTATAGGCTATATACGGTTTTATTTTATTTTATTTTACTCTGAGACTAAACTTTGATCATTGTGTATTGAAAGTCATTTAACTAGTGACCGATTTTGCACTTTTGTATCAATTTAGCTAGTTTATAGAAACGCATTTGCACGTACGTGCACATTGCAGTGTGTTTGTGTTCATGTGTGCTCATGCAACTGTATGGATTCCCTGATGCACAAATATTGAGTGTGACATTTGATTATCATATTATTTCTATAACACTTAGAGCAGATGAATGCCGTTTGCGTGTGTGTGTTCATGAATGAAAAGCTCTTCTCAGTCAATAATAGACTGCAGGTCTCAGCTCTGTAATTGCTGAACCTCCACGTGCTTCCTTTACAAATCCAACCGTGTTCCTCTCAGGACCTTGTTCACTCCCTCACTCTTGATACGAGGGGGCGTAAGTGTTTTCACTCTGGCACAGACAGTTGAATCAATTTTGCCGCAGGCTCTTTTAATACACACACACACACACACACACACACACGACTGTGGTGCTCTGTGTTGACAGTTTTGGTGATCTAGCTAGACTCATTCAGAGATATGATACGAAGATGCATGGCACTTTTCTGTTGCTGGAATTCAAGACATAGGCCCTACGTTGATTTAAAATCATGTTCTACAGGAAGAGAGAGACTGAGACTGAGGCGGAGACGAAGAGAAAGCAATGAATTTAAAAGGATTTGGGTGAAGTGTAAATCTGGGGCATGAGGGAGATGAAGGGAACAGGGAAAAGAAAGAAGAGAGTGTGAGAAATCCTGCATACATGGAGTAATCTGTGAGAAAGTCACAGTATTAACTGGTCGTGTGTGTGTGTGCGTGGCTGTTGTGAGGTCTGTTAAGAGTGTATATTCACAATCACATATAAATACACTGTTAAAAATGTTAGCAATTTTATATTTGTAAAATTCCTATCAAAATACTAAATTCAATTGATTAACCCAACCGTAAGTCATCATATCATATACGGTGAAAAATTATTTATTTTAAAAAGACAGTACATGAAATAATCAAATAATATTTTTAGATATAATTTTTTTTAGTAATAACTATATATTAAAATAGAATTAATAAAAAATATTAAATATTGTATAAAATGACATTATTAAATGCATCTTCAAGAAGTCCTTGAAAGATTCATCAAGTTTGTTTAAATTTTTATTTAAAAAAATTATGCTTTGTTGTTAGTTATGTCTATTAGGGTATTTTATGTTACACTTTGTTATTTAGCTAATGTTTATAGCATTTTTTGTGTGCCATTTGTTGCCCTGATGGAGGGTTGTGTTTGTTGGTATAACACATTTATTTTTGTTGGTATAATATTTACCCACGGTTGCTGGAAAGGACACTTTGATAAGTTGTCTACTGTCATGCATTTGAGGTTATCAATATATTCAAAAGTTTTGTTTAGGTTTAAGTTTGTTTTTATGTAAACATTATCATTTAATGATTTAATGAAGTGTGTAAGATACAGTACAGTTGTAACAGATGTACATAGGTTAAGCAAGCCATTCTTACACCACTTCACTCTGTCTCTCAGCTGAACAGCAAGCGCTCCAGTAGTTTTCGCAGAGCCATTGCAAATGGGCGTCGCACACTGCAGCGAGAGATCCTATTGGATGAGACGGGGCTGGGCGTGTACAAGCGCTTCGTGCGCTATGTGGCCTATGAGATTCTGCCATGTGAGACGGACCGCCGATGGTACTTCCATCAGAACAGAATCTGCCCTCCTCCTGTGTTCATGGCCATCATTACCATAGTACAGGTACACCTCACTTGAGTCGCTATATGGACCTTTCTACTTCGTTGCATTATAGGTTCATCAGATCAGCTCATTTGTTTCTTCCTTCTTTAATACACCAGTCTGTAGGTTACACTTATTTGTGTAAATACAATGTAACTACGTCACCTTATAATAAAGTGTGACCAAACTTTCTTAGCACAAGTTAAAAAGGTTGTAATTGGAAACCTTTTTACTCTATAAAGCCTACTGTATCATATTCAAAACTCATTTCTAAATTATCAAAATGATCAAAACTTTTCTGAAAAGCCTGTTATACAATCATGCCTTCTGTCATCTGATTGATAGTTCATACTTATTTAAGCAAATTAAAGGCATCATTTTAAAAATGTCCCCCTTCAGGTTTTGGTATTCATGTCTTTTTTACTGTGAAATCTTTAATAGAAAACATAATAGCTTTAATATCTTTGTATTATTTCAAGATGAACACTTACTGGCCTGAAGCAACTTATCCATACATCTTTTTTTATCATAATAAATGATAAGATGTATCAAATGTGATCTATCAGGCTTTTTAGGAATGTTTATTTGTTCATCTCTCAATCATAATTGTATTGCATTGTATTATATGTTTTAACCCTCCCCCTTCCCTCCACTACAGAGCTTTGATCATAAAACTAAGCATGTAAATATAATCTCATATGCATTTTATACAAGTAGTCTGATGATTCAATCATTGATTACATTACAAGCAATCAGAATTTCATCATACTTTTTGGAAATACAAATAACAACTGCACTAAATTGCATATTTTTTGCTCAGTTTGTGCCTCTAAATAAAACTGAGGTGTTTTTCCTCCTCGAGTGTGATCTCCATATTCTCCTATAACATACTTTATGAGCCATAAAAGCCCTGATGTACTGTATCAAATATGATACTCAACATCATAGAACACATGCACACATTTTAAAGATTTATTTTTAGTATTTTGTCTAAATGATCAATAAATGCCATTATTCACTGGGTCAAGACTGTTGAACGTGTCTGTGTTTGTGTGTTCCAGATCATAGTGTTTATGTGTTACGGTGTGATGCTCAATAAATGGGTGTTGCAAACGTACCAGCCGGATTTCATGAAGAGTCCGCTGGTGTATCATCCCGGACACCGCGCGCAAATCTGGAGGTTCTTCAGCTACATGTTCATGCATGTTGGGTAAGTAGAGGGATGACCAGGGGCCGGTTTCACAAAGATAGACTTTGACTATGGCTTAGATATAGCAGATAGTCAGACTTCAGATAGACATCTAAATCAGACCGTTGCACAAAGCGCTTAAGACTCTGACTATCTTAAGTAGGACTACACTGCAATGCATTCTGGGTAAAATAAGACACTTTTCAAAACAAAAAACATGGCGGATTGAGTAAGCGCATTCAACCGCTCAGTGCAGTTTACCCCAGCGGGAGATATGTGTTTGTTGGAGGAGTATAACAGTTACAAGGACATTTTACTTGGGAAATTTAGCGGAGAATGTAGAAACAAGAAGAAATGTTTAATTTGGAAAGGACCATTTTCCCTTTACTTTCGGCTGTTTGTCATGTAACTGATTGTTACTGTTGGTTGCCAAGGTAACAGAGTCTTAGACCTGAGTTAGCCTGGGGGAAAGGTGTCTAATTTTTTTGGTCTAAATTAAGTCAGTCTTTATTTTTGTGAAACAGTCTAACTTGCATTAGATTAGTCTATGAGCGAATTTTAGACTTGTCTAACACTATAGACCGGTCTAAAATAGCTTTGTGAAACCGGCCCCTGATGAACAAGCTCCTCCCAAACTAGTGTTTAGATCTCCGTTTATAAATAAATGAGTATCAGCTGTAGTACTCTTGGATAATTATGCAACTGGAAACTGTTTCTTGAATAATCTGTTTTACAAGCTTTAAATTTCAACATGAACTCAAATGTGAAATACTTTCTTCATTCATGTTTCTGGTCTTATTGTGCACTTTATTTTAAAGAAAACAATTTGTCTTTGTCATCTTTTATCAAAATGTCCCACCTCTGAAATGACTTTCCTTATCAACTGATGTCATGAAAACCATTTTTTAAACCCATCTCCTCCAATCATGTCATATTGAGATACTTTTTTACCATGCAATGAATTCCTGATGGATTAAATTAGGTCCCGCGGCTCCCGCCCACATTTTTTGCTAAGAATATCTTTTTTTTACTGAGAAATACAAAAGTAAAATGGGCTGTGAGTGTGAACCCTATTTCACATTCATGCAGCTAGCATTAATGCAAGAAACATATCGTAGAGCATTTAATATGTTTATCTATCCTAGAATAATCCTGAGTTTGTAAAGCAAAGAGATTTCATCACAAATCTCTTTTTAATGAAGAAAAAATGACACTTTGTTGTAATAAATGTGAAGTGCTTCATCTGTTACTCAGCAGGATTGATTCTGTCAGATTCCACAGGAACTCCATGTTTTTTGAAACACGTTTGATAAAGGTTAAGCTCTTTAAAGATGACAGACAAAAGTTTACTTTGTTCTGAGGCTGACGAGAATTTCCTAGTGTTCCTCGGTGTGTATTTAGCCGCCCGGACCGGCAGCCACAGCTGATGTTTCTCGTTCCGGGTGTGTGTCTGTGCAGGTTAGAGCAGCTGGGCTTCAACGCTCTTCTCCAGCTGATGATTGGAGTTCCTCTGGAGATGGTTCATGGGATCCTGAGGATCAGTCTGCTGTATATGGCAGGAGTCGTCGCTGGTGAGTTAGTGTGTGTGTGTGTGTGTGTCCGTGTGTGTCCGCATAAGTCTTGCTGTCCTTGCACTGTGACAAGTTCACCAGGAGAATCTGCTCATATTTATGATGGACATGTCACCAGTGGGCAATGACCTAATCAATAATCTGTGAATTATTCTCTCTATCTCTCTCTCTCACACACACACACACACACACACACACACATACACACAATCTTTGTAGGGCCACATCCTACGGAGTTTCAATCCAACCCTAATTAAACCCACCCAAATCAGTTAATTAAGGTCTTCGGGGCAATTGAGTATGATTAGGCTTATATACACACACACACACTAAATAAAATCCTAATAAAATAAAATATATTTTTATTAACTTTAAAAAAAAAATTAATTATAATAAAACAATAATATATATATATATATATATTATAAAAATACATTTTAATTTATTAGGATTTTATTTAGTGTGTGTTTGTGTGTGTGTGTGTGTGTGTGTATAAGCCTAATCATACTCAATTACCCCTAACACACATACTAAATAAAATCCTAATAAAATAAAATGTATTTTTATTAACTTTATTTTTTAAAACGAAAATAAAACAATAATATATTATAATATATATATATATATATATATTATAAAAATACATTTTAATTTATTAGGATTTTATTTAGTGTGTGTGGGTGTGAGTGTGTATAAGCCTAATCATATTTAATGATTAAATTGATATATAGACCTTGTAAATTCTTTAAATTAATGATTATTATGTTTTATTTTATTAAATATTAAAATTTTAATTTAATTAAATACAATTCTGATTCAATTAAAATTAATTTGTAATGAAATTATTTATTTATTTATTATGAAATAATTTTAATTTACTGTAATGAATTTTCTTTCTTTTTTTCTTTTAATTTATTTTATTTAAAAAATAATATATATGTATATGAGTCTGTGTTCGTGTGTGTGTGATATAGGAGATATACAGGTCATATTCAGTGCTGTTTAATTTGGTTCCTGGAGAACCGTGTTCTGCTGAATTCAGAGCCTAATCAAACAGTTGTGTGTAATTAAGTAATCCTGAAGACCTTGATTAGCTGGTCCAGGTCTGTTTAATTAGAGTCGGAGCAAAACCCTGTAGGACGTGAGTCACGTGACCCTCAGGCCAGGAATGGACTCAAATAGCCGTGATATAGAATAATACAGCTTAACTATAGCAAATGAGATGAACACGAAATAAATTAAATACACACTCGTGTTATATCATATTTACTAAATCATTACAAATGCCAAATCATCACTACCTACAACACACACGTGTTGTTTTGACACACTGTACGAGCACGTGTCCATGTTGAGGACACAGAAAGTAAGATGGAAATTAAAGGAAGGAGAAAATAGAGTATGCAAGAACAGATAAGAGAAACTGAGGAGAGTACTATTGAGACTGCCTGTGAGAAAGAGATGAAAAGACAAGGAAAGTGTGAGAATTTGAGTGAGAGGGATGTGCGAGAAGAAAGAGTTTCAAGAAAACGAAACATAAAAAAGAGAAGGGTGATGAAGATGGTGGTAGCGTTAGAGTGCTGAGCGCAGCAGAGCTCAGTGTGTAGACGCACGGGATAGACACAATCTGACACACACACACACACACACACACACACACACACAGGAAATGCCAATATTCAATTATCTCACCCGGTTTGCATGCATGTTCGCTTTCCAATGAGGTTTTAGTTTACAGTGCAGAATTAGCTTTATTGGGTGTGTTTTATGCCGCTGTGGGTTTGAATGTTTTGTATTAAATTAGTTGGACTCTTTTCACTTGGGCTAGTAAGAAACCACCTAGAACCCCCATAGCAACCACCCACAACACCTTAGCAACCACATCGCAATGTACTAAAAGCAACTCCGAACACCCTAGCATCATGGCGGTAGGTTTAAAAAATGTCAAAATGTAGTTCCTATAGTGCTTTAACAGAGCAGCTCTGTATCCTATAATTACATGACAACTATTAATTACCTTTATTACATTCATTAAATGGGTCAACAACAGTGATGCCAGGAATGCAGAAATACAGGTCAGTAGGGCTTTTTATATATATATATATATATATATATAAATAATGTATTATATATAATAAATGTAATTATTTTATTTGATGAAATTATTATTTTATTACATTTTATTTTACAAATATTTTATTACAAAATATATATATAAACTAAAACTAAATCATACCTCCTTACCTGTATGTAATTTCTGTCATTTAAAATGATTTTTATTAAATAAATAAAAATAAATAAATGTATTAAATTATTGTATTACATTTTACAATATTAAAAAATATTAAATTTAACTTTAAATACATACAATCCTTAATAAATTCTAATTTAGTTTTTATTAAATTATTTTTAAGACAGTGAGACACTCTTTATTAAACTACAAATAATCCAGTAAAATAGGTGTGCGTCACTAGTGTGCAGGAGGGACCCCCTCATGTCATTATGAGCCAATTATATTAAGATTAAATTTGCCTATGAGGAGAAATTTTACTTGATAAACGCCGCATGGAAGCAACAAACAGACGTTGTAATGTCGCACACAAAGGTAAATTTACACCGAATCACAGTCATAACTCTGCATGAATTCACTATTGGTGGTCTTGGTGGGGGGATTTACAAGAAATGCATAATCCCAGTGTTTCTGTCATTAGTGAAGCCTAAACCTGTGACGGTGTGTTTCCTCAGGTTCACTGACGGTGTCCATCACAGATATGCGAGCTCCAGTGGTCGGCGGGTCCGGCGGGGTCTATGCTCTCTGCTCAGCACATCTCGCCAACGTTGTCATGGTAACCCAAACTAACTGCTGCCATGGCGACTTGTGTCAGAATGAATGAAAAGGAGGAATCAGGGAGAGGAATAGAGAAACGCAGAGGGATAAATCTCTCCGGATGCTTTATATTGCGGCTTCCCTAAAGATCAGAGAGTCTGTAATCACTCGCACATAGACGGATACAAACAGGCCTCCGAGAGTCCTAAAGTCTCTTCAGCGTCTGTGTGTGCTGATGGATGGCTCTGAACTTCCTCTTATGGGAATATAAGTGCCTTTTCATTTGTGTGTGTGGAATACAAGGACGATTTAGAAGCTTTACAGCTCAAATAACACGTTTTTGTGCATGACACTTCATATAAGCACAAATTCAGCCTGAAATCAAAATGGACTTTGTTTTCAATAAGACCAGAAACATGTAAGTGTAGCCAAATAGCTATTTAGTCATTTTGACCTACAGTTTTATCATTTAATAGAAAATATCATATTATGAAAGTAAAAATGGGTTGCAAATGGCAATCAGTGTTATTTTAGTATTATTTTTATACTATTATAGTATTTTGAATTTGATTTGATTTTTATATTTTCAGTTTTAATTTTAGTTTAGGTTACAGTAGTTTAATTGTGTGTTTAAAAAAAGAAACAAATTCTATTTAGCTTTATTTTATTTCAGGTTTAGTACTTCAACTTAAATGCAATTTATTTCATTTAGTTTTACAATTTTTACAATTCAATTACCGAAATATTTTTTTTATATTTTTAGTGATGGCAAGTTACAATAGCTTCACATTTTTGCTTTAAAAAAAGAAGTGGCATACACACAGTACATCATGCGTCATGACGACTTTAAGGTTTTTCGTACACTATTTAAAGGTTTTTAACACGTGTGTGTTTGTGTTTCAGAACTGGGCCGGAATGAAGTGTCCATACAAGTTGCTGCGGATGATTCTTGCACTTGTTTGCAGTAAGTCATTTTAGTTCTCTAAATTTGTGCTAAATAAGCAACATCTGAGAGGAACAGATTGAACACAATCACTTTTTTTGTTCTATTTATGAGTTGCCTTTCAGTTGTAAAGCTTGTATCGCATACTGCACACTACACAGCATTCATCACAGTATATACTATTACTGCCTACAACATGCAAGACTATCATATTGCATACTATGCAGTAAATACTAAATTCTGCATACTATTTAAAAAATAGGCTATGGCTGAATTCACAATAGCATCTACTATTGTTTTTTTCTGAAATGACCTATATTCACAATGGAAAAATAGCATGTCAAATATAATGTAGTATACACTAAATACTGCATACTTTTTTTTAATAGGTAATGGCTTAATTCATTCTATTGCATAATAGCATACTAGCATGTTACTGTGTACTGTTGTTTTTTATTTTTTATATTCAGAATGGAAGACTGTATTGCATACTATGCATGCAGTATACACTAAATACTGCATATTATTAAAAAGAAATTGTAATATCAATGCAATGATAATCATTTCAAATAGTAGTATGCTACATTGTTTTCACATGACCTCATTACATATATTTTTAATAATTAATTATTGAGCAGCAAATCATCATATTAGAATGATTTCTGAAGGATCATGTGACACTGAAGACTGGAGTAATGATGCTGAAAATTCAGCTTTGATCACAGGAATAAATTACATTTGAAAATATATTGAAATAGAAAAAAGTTATTGTAAATTGTAATAATATTTCACAATATTTTTTGTTCTATATTTTTGATCAAATAAATGCATCCTTAGTGAGCATAAGAGACTTCTTAGAATCTGATAGTATAAGTAATATGCTACTATTCCAAACATCTGCCAATCTCTCTGTGTCTTTAACAGTGAGTTCTGAGGTGGGCCGTGCCGTATGGTTGCGTTTCTCTCCGCCGCTGCCCTCTTCCGGTCCGCAGCCCAGCTTCATGGCTCATCTGTCGGGCGCAGTGGTGGGCATCAGCATGGGGCTGCTGATCTTGCGGAGCTATGAGGAATCTCTGCATAAACAGTGCTCCTGGTGGGTGCTCATCTTCTCCTTCATCACCTTCCTCCTCTTCGCCATCTTCTGGAACATTTTCGCTTACGAGCTGCTCGGGGTTCAGATCCCGCCCCCTCCCTGATGACACGCCCCCTCCCTGATGACACACCCCCTGGTGGGTGCAGAAAGCCACGCCCCCTGCCCGATACAGGCCCGACCTCAATCTACTCCACTCGACCAGCGGCGGAGAAAAGGGTGTAAAAACATGGAAGGTGTGAAATGAAAAACGCATACTCACTTTCCATACAGAAGCAGCGAACATATTTTAATGAACACTCCAAGGCAGCTCAAGGGTCCGGTGAGCTTATTTGAACAAACACACACACACACACACACACACATATACACACACGTACATCAGATTTGTTTTGCTCTCTGAGTGCGAGTTTCAGCCCGAGGCTCGTTCATGATGCCTTTCTGTATTGTTTTGATTTGACAGCCTCATCTAAGCCTGTTATGCGTTACAGATAACATCCGTAGTAGATGAAACGCCGAATTGAATCCAGGAATCTCGCCGACTAAAAACAAAGCCTTGCGCTTGAAGACACGGTAAAGTCCTCACTGAGGTAGGGGGTTGATGTTGATGTCTGTTGTTGGATAATTACGGATAGTATTCTTTTTTCAACAAGCTAAAACTTGTTTCAAAGGGGAAAAAGAGATGTTTCTTGCTTTACTTTGTTCCTCAGCTTTACACACACTTGTAGACGCTACAAGAGGACAGAAACATTATCTCTGTTCCAAATCTTAGTGGGCTGTCGATGTAGGCAGCATGTCATATGTGCACATTATGTCACCTTCTAAGATAGCCTCTTCTAGCCAAATGTGAACGTAGCATTCTATGTCAGAGAAAGCAATCCCAGAATTTATTGCAACAAGCTCCAAAATGTGTGTGTATAAAATACACTACCGTTCAAAAGTTTGGGGTCGGTACGATTTTAAATACTTTTAAAAGAATTCTCTTCTGCTAACCATGGCTGCGCTTATTTGATTAAAAATACAACAAAAATCAGTTATAGTATTAAATATTATTCCAGTGTAAATCAGCTGTTTTCTGTGTGAATATATAGTAAAGTGTAATTTATTCCTGTGATCAAAGCTGAATTTTCAGCATCACCAGTGTCAGTGTCTTCAGTGTCAAATGATCCTTCACAAATCAGTATAATATGAGGATTTGATGCTCAAGAAACATTTATTATTATTATCAATGTTGAAACAGTTGTTGGTCTGTCAGTTGTACAGTTTTTTTTGAGTTTTTTTTTTAGGATTCTTTGATGAATAGGAAGTTCAAAAGAACAGCATTTGTTTAAAATAGAATCTTTTGTAACATTATAAATGTCTTTACTGTCACTTTCGATCAAATTAAGTATTGATTTCTTTCCTCCAAAAAATAAAAATAAAATTCTCACTGACCCCAAACTTTTGAACGGTAGTGTGTATATATATACACACACTACCGTAATATTTTCTGCTCTTCTGCTCACCAGTGCTGCATTTATTTGATAAAAAAAACAGTGAAATAACATTACAATTTAAAATACCGATTTTCTATGTGAATATATTGTAAAATGTCATTTATTCCTGTGAGCAAAGCTGAATTTAAGCATCATTACTCCAGTCTTCAGAGTCACAAATCACTCTAATATGATGATTTGCTGCTTAAGAAACATTTCTGATTATTATCAGTGTTGAATACAGTTGTGCTGCTTTATATTTTGGCAGGAGCCATGATGCAGTTTTTAAGGATTGCTTGATGAATAGAAAGTTCAAAAGAGCAGCATTTATTTGAAATAGAAATATAATAAATGTCATTACTGTCATTTTTGATCAATTTCATTGCATCCTTGCTGAAGAAGTCTAAATTTCTTATTACTGTCCTCACACTTTTAAACTACTTAAAAATGGATTACCCTGCTTAATAATATTTGTATGCTTATTAGAGTATTGTTTTATTAGCTTAGCAGCTGCCTATGTTGGCTGTGAACAGCAAGGGAGCTCACTAGGTTTTGGAACAGAGTACATACCTGACCTTAAACATATTTCCAGTGATCACATAAACAAAAGCCAGTGAGTGAGCTTGAAGTTTAGAAGACAATATGTCTGTGGCACACAGTAATGAATACTTCAGTTATTGCTGTGCAGATTGCAGTTGTTATGGTAACTGCCATAACAGGATTAAAGATGCTTTCAACATAGAAACGGATGTCGCGACCACCAGTACCGTATGTCATGGGGAAATTCTGTCTGCCTACATTTTCAGTGAAAGAATAGTGACTGGATGTTTAAGTTTTAAAATGGAAAATACAACCCACAATCCTTATGTTTTCATGACAAGACTGCAAAAGATGAGAGAAGATAAACACAGAGTGATTTATGACCCTTAACTCTGAGACAAAGCAAATAATGACAAAATTCAGTAGTGCCAAGTTATCATTCGCTAAGCTGCTAAAAGATACTTAAGGGGAATTGTTTAAATAGCTATAGGAAAGATTGCTGTGTTCTGAATTGATTTCTTTTCATTTTCGAAAAGCTCGACCGTGCGTCTATTTAATGTTGTGGATTTTTATGCCATAGTCCTATATTTATATTTATTCCGAGTGGCTGTCGTTGTTGGGTTGTGGCGTGTGTAAAGATGGTCTTAGACTGATGATACAAACCTCTAGATGAAATCCCACAGAAACAGAAAGTGCTGGAAGATGCAAAGCAAAGAAAATCAACAATACAAAAATGTTTAATTAATACATTCTCCCTGGCTTTGCTGTGCTCAAAGGTCACGGTTATGTAACATAATACATGAATACTTTTGAGGGAACAAGCGAGTCATTTGAATATTTAAAGTCAGCATGAAACGGCACTCGCATTTTCTGCCATACTGTGACATATTTGCAAGTGAAAAGGATAAAGAGAATACAGCAGAAAAGGATTTAATAAATTAAATAATGTCAAGTTTGGTTTCAAGTTGACTGTAAATGTTCTGATCCAGCATGCAAGAGTCGCACCATAGTGAAATTTATAGAGTTCCTGTAATATCCACCTGGCTGGCACTTTTAGGCAGGTGAAAAATGAAAAGCTGATGAATATTTATTAGACGCGCATATAAACAGTGAGAACGAGAGAGAGAAATGTAATGAAAAAGCTAAGAGATGTATCGGGATGTGTGATAGAAGAAAATAAGGTGAGAAAGACGGCGCAAATAGCTGATAAAATGATGGAAAATGGAGAGAAAACAGCAAATGATGGATGTATTATTTTTGAACACTCATCAAATGGATGCTGGAAGTGTGTGGCTGCGTGTGTGTGTGTTAAACATGCTTTAATATGCTGTATGACCATTGTTGGTTTTCAGACTGTTACAGGCACACATTCTGTAGTCTGTGTGTGTCTTTTGTGAGTGTGGGAAACACTGACCATGGTCTAAAACAGTTGGGTTGTGTTCAGAGTGGAATACTAGCATACTGAATGCATACTTTGCAGTTTAAACAGTATCCTGCCTACTAATTTTAAAGAATATTATGTGAAACTTTTTCGTTTCATACAGGGCCTAAAATTTACACTCGCCAAGCACGAGTAAAAATTGGCGTTGGCCGGTAGCATTTGTATGAATTCTAACAATGCAATATTAGAAAGTTTTAGCCTTGCCAATTTAAATATTCAAGCGCAAAGCAGAACGCCATGAATACTGAATTGAGCTCTCTTGAGCTTGACTGGACAAATCCACACAAATTATGTCAAAATACCCGGCAAGTATCCTTGTATACAGTCGGTTATGTCTTAAGTGGACGTAAACAGCTGAGAAAGTAAACGCATGAGTATCTGTATCAGTGTATTGGATCCGTGCATCCGCTCTTAAAGTGACAGCAGCCTATTATTCCCGACAAAGAAAAGACAAAGACCAAGAATAATCATTCAATGCTCTAGACTAAATAACTTTTGTAACTTTAATAAGAAATGATTATGTTTCATGGCTGGTAAAACATATTTATGGCCAGTACATTTTCTCAAGTCTCCAGCCATTGGCAGTTCATACGGAGCCCATAAAAGGACAAAAAAAATATGAGATGGGAGGAAAAATTATATTTCAAGGTTTTTGCATTTTCTCACATACCATTTGAGTTTTTGCAAGCGAACACAAAGTTACTTGGGACAATGCAAAACCTTTTATTTCAGCTTTCCAAAAATGTTTTTAATAGCTTTAGTTAACCGTTTCAGAATGTAAAGTCAAGGACATTGCATCATGGGATGCAGTTTTACATTTATAGAGTTGTATACTGCACATTTGGGCAAATGTTACAGATAAGTCGTCCACTTATGCCATTCACACTGAACGTTTGCATCCTGCATATAGTATGGGTAGTATGCCACTCCGAACATACTCTCGGTGAAGAAGTGTACTCAATCAAACCTCTTGAAACTGGGAGCAAACCGATTTACCAAGGGCCTCCCCTTATTCCCGCCCATACGCCCCAGCCAATAGCTGCTCTCGAAGATCATGGTGTCCTGAGTTTATTTTCTCCATGATGTTGTAGGTGTAGTTTTGCTTTGAGATCATCGCTGCGTCTGTGTTGCTGCCACAACTCTAGTCCTTCTGAGAATCGTAGTCCATGTAGACTTCAAAATGGTGCCAAAATACAAGAGATGACGACTCTTGCAGTAAAATATTCTGTTTACATAAAAAGAAGTTAAAACTAAAAATATAATATAAGGCTAATAGTTTTCTCTGGATCAGATGAAGATAGATTAAAAAAAAGTTGTAAATACTGATAGTTTCTTTTAAATTCTTTATCATTTCATGATGTATAATTGTACTTCTGAAATATTGGGACCTGAGGCAATTAGTTTTTTGTAGTTTTATTTTGTATGGTTTTGTGTTTGCTTTCATTTCTCAGCTGTATGAAATAAAGAACATACTGTGAGAGAAGTCTGCGTGTGTTTGTGTGCCCACAGTAAGACACTCTCCACTGATGCTTGAACTTTTTTTCAGCAAATTGTCGGTGCAAGGATGTGCTTAACCGTCAGAAATGGTTTAGTCAACTCAGACAAATATTTTATACATGGATTTATTCTCTGCTTATTTTATGTGTGGTTTGCAATTTTTGAAACCCTGTTAGTTTCTCATAAATTAAAGAATAAAAAATTAATTTTTAATTACACACATATATATACAGGTTCTTCTCAAAAAATTAGCATATTGTGATAGGTCATTATTTTCCATAATGTAATGATAAAAATTAAACTTTCATATATTTTAGATTAATTGCACACCAACTGAAATATTTCAGGTCTTTTATTGTTTTAATACTGATGATTTTGGCATACAGCTCATGAAAACCCAAAATTCCTGTCTAAAAAAAATTTGCATATTTCATCCAACCAATAAAAGAAGTGTTTTTAATACAACAACAAAAAGTCAAACTTCAAATAATTATGTTCAGTTATGCACTCAATAGTCAATACTTGGTTGGGAATCCTTTTGCAGAAATGACTGCTTCAATGTGGCGTGGCATGGAGGCAATCAGCCTGTGGCACTGCTGAGGTGTTATGGAGGCCCAGGATGCTTCGATAGCGGCCTTAAGCTCATCCAGAGTGTTGGGTCTTGCGTCTCTCAACTTTCTCTTCACAATATCCCACAGATTCTCTATGGGGTTCAGGTCAGGAGAGCTGGCAGGCCAATTGAGCACAGTAATACCATGGTCAGTAAACCATTTACCAGTGGTTTTGGCACTGTGAGCAGGTGCCAGGTCGTGCTGAAAAATGAAATCTTCATCTCCATAAAGCTTTTCAGCAGATGGAAGCATGAAGTGCTCCAAAATCTCCTGATAGCTAGCTGCATTGACCCTGCCCTTGATAAAACACAGTGCACCAACACCAGCAGCTGACATGGCACCCCAGACCATCACTGACTGTGGGTACTTGACACTGGACTTCAGGCATTTTGGCATTTCCTTCTCCCCAGTCTTCCTCCAGACTCTGGCACCTTGATTTCAGAAGGACATGCAAAACTGAGCAACAGTCCAGTGCTGCTTCTCTGTAGCCCAGGTCAGGCGCTTCTGCCGCTGTTTCTGGTTCAAAAGTGGCTTGACCTGGGGAATGCGGCACCTGTAGCCCATTCCCTGCACACGCCTGTGCACGGTGGCTCTGGATGTTTCTACTCCAGACTCAGTCCACTGCTTCCTCAGGTCCCCCAAGCTCTGGAATCAGTCCTTCTCCACAATCTTCCTCAGGGTCCGGTCACCTCTTCTCGTTGTGCAGCGTTTTTTGCCACACTTTTTCCTTCCCACAGACTTCCCACTGAGGTGCCTTGATACAGCACTCTGGGAACAGCCTATTTGTTCAGAAATTTCTTTCTGTGTCTTACCCTCTTGCTTGAGGGTGTCAATGATGGCCTTCTGGACAGCAGTCAGGTCGGCAGTCTTACCCATGATTGCGGTTTTGAGTAATGCAACAGGCTGGGAGTTTTTAAAAGCCTCAGGAATCTTTTGCAGGTGTTTAGAGTTAATTAGTTGATTCAGATGATTAGGTTAATAGCTCGTTTAGAGACCCTTTTCATGATTTGCTAATTTTTTGAGATAGGAATTTTGGGTTTTCATGAGCTGTATGCCAAAATCATCAGTATTAAAACAATAAAAGACCTGAAATATTTCAGTTGGTGTGCAATGAATCTAAAATACATGAAAGTTTAATTTTTATCATTACATTATGGAAAATAATGAACTTTATCACAATATGCAAATTTTTTGAAAAGGACCTGTATATAAAAAAATAATTTAACTTTTTTATATATATATATAAACCTGTTAGTTTCTCATAAATTAAAGAAAATATTATTTATAATATTGCTTTATTAAAATATCTAAACAATTACAAATAATTTTTGCCTCAAAAACACAGATACTTTTGCAAAGGGATACATTGACAACACTCTCTAGATAATATTGCATGTACTATATACTAGGAAAATGCAGAGAAGTACACAATCCTGACTAAGTTCGTTTCTGTCTCTTCGATGGCTTTTCATCAGCAGTCTTCCTCTTCTCTGGCTTCTGATTGGTCGCTGTGTGTGTTGCATCCATCAGATTGAACTCCTGTATTAATGAGGGCTGAATCTGATTGGCCACTGCCCATGCCCATAAACACTGCTCCACCCGGTGAGGAGTCCAGTCCTGCTGGCCGTCCACTGAGACCGGAAATAAATACTATAGTAAAATCCTAATAAAGAAATATTTCAGCTTAATGTGTGTATCTTACCTCTATTAAGCTGGGATGATTTCTGCAGCATTTTCTGGAGGAAAAGTGCATAATGTTTGGCCGTGTACTCGACCGGTCTGAGCTCTGCGACGCTCTCCACAGCTTCGTCAGCCATGAAGGCCACTTGACCTGGAGCGACGGCCGCCAACACGGCTGATGGAGATAGTTTGCTGCGGTTTGAATGTGTTTTATTACAGTTATTGCACGCATGCATGACTGGATGGGTGTGTGTGTACCTGAGGCCGTTGCTGGCCCGACACCTTTGAGTTTGCACAGCTCTGTAATTGCCGCTTGGACATCGGGCAACAAACCGAATGCTTTGCTGGTCGAGCTTTGAACCGCCTCCTCGCTGTTCGAGCCAATGAGCTGCTGCAAACGTGGCCTAAACTTCCCTTTCTGAGAGGGAGCAGCCATCATCATCATCATTATCATCAAAGAGAGCAATGCATTTGTGCATAATAGTCATATCTGTGTGTGAACGGATCGTCACTGCATGCAACCAATGAGCCGCTAGCCTATTTCTGTGTTTCTCTCTAATTACGCAGGGCATGAATCTATTTCTATTGTGCTTACGGTAAGTTTCCACTCCATGATCTTGACGAGCTCAGCATGTGTGAGGGAATGCTGGGATCGAGCTGAGATCGCTGCGGGAAGCTCCTCCTGAAACCTGGGGAAAACAGACAATGCCACTAAGATTTCCTGCAATTGTATTATATTATGATGCAAATACAACAATGAACAAAAAATACATTGCTGGTGTGTATTTCTGAGAACTCAAGTCTATTTTTGTGGTTGTCTTTCTAGTGAATCAAATTTCAAAGGGGTCAAATTGCATGTTAGATAGTAATTATGATGAGTAGGCAAACGTTATGAAATCAAATGAACAAGATAAAATTAATACAAATATTTTAAAATGTATATAATTTAACCATACATTTAATTACTATAATTTATCGTTCATTTTACATGTATATATTTTTATAAATGTATATGATTATTAATAAAGAAATGAATATTCTATTCTGATGCGTAAAAAGACATTTTAGGAACTCAAAATATATTTTTTGTGGTTGTTCATGTGAACTTTTAAATTTCCATATCAAATAGAGGCAATGCTAGTTTTTTTTTATTATTTTATTTATTAAAGTGTCTTGCACTTACATGCCCAGCCCAAATAGGCTTAAAAGACACTAATGACATAAAACAAACATAATACAAAAAGATGACCATCATAAAAGATACATTACCATCATTTTCACAATATAAACAAACAAAACAAGACTAGTTGTCAAATTGCTTATAATTTGCTAATTATGAGTAGGCACAAATTATCAATTAAAATAAAATTACAATATTTTTAAAATCTATATAATTTAGAATTAACAGTATTTTATATAATTTGTTGTGTATATATTTAAGTCATTTATATTCGTAATTAATACTATTAATATATAATTAAATTTCAATTCTGGTGCAAATACAATAATGAACATAAAAAGACATTTTAGGTCTGTGTTTGTAAGAACTCAAACCATTTGTCCAGTTGCAGGAGCTTTCCAGAAGCCTTGCCCTTTCCAGCTGATTTAGCTTGTATCACAGTCCAGTATTGTCCATAAATCCCTCTCCATACAGCTGGATCTTCACAGGTAAACAGCCTCCCATCCACAGGCATGACTGAGAGAGAGAGAAGAGGGAGATAATGCGTGCACAGTTTATAACATTTACTGCAGATCTCAAACAAGACAGCCAAATAACAGTATATTATCATACCAGCATGTGTTATGATAAATATTCCTTTTAACGGTGTTTTATAACAAACTTCAGTCCTCCTGCAGTGTGACAAACCGGAGCGGCGTGACCGAGACAGCGCGCGCTTAGAGAGGGGAGGTGACGTCAGCGGCAAACGTAAACAATAATTCTACATCCGCTTCTCATGAACGGACACACTTGTTTTTAAAAGGGTAAGTTCTGCGCGGTTATTCAGCAATATCCAAACTCATATTACAGTTGAGCATGCATGTTCGGAAACATGATAAGCTGAATTATGCTGTCGAGCCGCAGGAGTTGTGACTGCTGTACTGAGGTGTTTTTGTAGCAGTATGACACTTGTGTTGACTGCCACGAGCTCTAAAAGACAAACTTACTCATATTTAGTACATATATTATTCCATTCACAAAAAGAACAGCTGTAATATCATAGTATTGCAAAAAGAATTTCATTTTTTATAACCTAGATGCACCAATCGGTCAGTATGAATGTGGAATATGAATAGTTCAAATCCTTATATAAAATCGTATTTAATTGACCTTTCTGTGCATTACAATAACACACAGACAACACTGCGTTAGTGTGCTTACTGATAATACAAACAACCACAGTAAAACCTACATTGCAGTGCAGAAAAATTGATAAGAATAACAGTAATAATATATAAACCTTTATTGTCGTGCAGGAAAATTGATAAGAATAACAGTAATAATATATAAACCTATATTGCCGTGCAGGAAAATTGATAAGAATAACAGTAATAATATATAAACCTATATTGCCGTGCAGGAAAATTGATAAGAATAACAGTAATGATATATAAACCTATATTGCCGTGCAGGAAAATTGATAAGAATAACAGTAATAATATATAAACCTTAACCTACATTGTCGTGCAGGAAAATTGATAAGAATAACAGTAATAATATATAAACCTATATTGCCGTGCAGGAAAATTGATAAGAATAACAGTAATAATATATAAACCTTAACCTACATTGTCGTGCAGAAAAATTGATAAGAATAACAGTAATAATATATAAACCTTTATTGTCGTGCAGGAAAATTGATAAAAATAACAGTAATAATATATAAACCTATATTGTTGTGCAAGAAAATTGATAAGAATAACAGTAATAATATATAAACCTATATTGTCGTGCAAGAAAATTGATAAGAATAACAGTAATAATATATAAACCTACATTGCAGTGTAGGAAAATGGATAATAATATATAAACCTACATTGTAGTTCAATAAAAAAAAAAGGAGAATAATAACAGTGATAATATATAAACCTTGATTGCAGTGGAGTAAAATTGCAGATAGAAGCAGATATACAACATGCAATGAAAAAAAAGGTCATTATATAACCATAATATAATCTGAACAAGATATTTATTATTATTAAAAATAAATGGCATGCTTCAGATTATATCAATTGCATAAAATAAAATGTTTTATAAAATCTAACAACATCTCATCTAAGTTTTACTGCTAGTGCTAATATGATTTCTTAAATGGCATTGTTTCATTAATAATGCAGCTCTGCTAGTGATATTGCTGCCTTGTTTCTGTCCTGCAGGTCAGTGTGTAATTCCCTATGAAGATGTTAAACTCGTCCGCGTGGATGTGTGCGTGACGTCACGCACCGACTGTCACGTGAAGTGGATTTGTTTCTCTCATCTTGAGCTGTGCGTGACGAACACAGATGGTGAGATAAAATACCTGCATCTAAAGTCTTGTTGCAATAACATTAATAATCCCTTACATGTTTGTCATTTTACCACCACAGATCATTTCTAGAAAAGTCTTTTTTATATAAACATCTAATGATCTACTTATTCAGATATAATCTATAAAGAATAGTTTAGTCATTCATGTATATTTGTTTTGAAATAATAAATACATTGATGGAATGTGTTTGTGTTTCTCATTTTCCCAAAGGTTTTAGTGTGGAGTGAATGAGAAAGTTGGAGGTTATTTGAAGTGTTTTTCTCAACACACAAAGCGTAAGTGTGAACCGCTTACCTTATTCATGTATGTTTTGACATGTATTGCTAAGTGGATAAGCTCAGGTAAATGCACGTCGTCCACCATGAGATGTTGGAGTTGCTGAATCTGCTGTCCACCTGCTGGCCAGAGAAGGATCTGCAGCAGCTTCATCTTCTCTCCTCTCTCGTTTCTCGGTGTTTTTCAGCTTGAGATGGAGAAGATGAACAGGGTCAACACCATCAGTGGCCGTACCATGTTTTGCCACCTGGATGCTCCTGCCAACGCCATCAGTGTGTGTCGGGATGCTACGCAGGTGAAAGATCAGGCTATATTCTCACCACAAGCTCAAATATATATTTTTTGTGTGTTTACATGACTTTTTAAATGTAGCCCATTTTAAAATAGAAGCAATGGTACACCAAAAAAAAGTTAGATATTGCTAGTAAATTTAGCAAAGAAAGTAACACATATAATTAAATGTGAAATTTTGAAGTAGAAGGACTGAAATGGTGTTTTCTTGTAAAACTTACTCCAGGCAGTTCACTTTTTATGAACTAATAATGAATAAGAAAAAAAAAGTGAAATAAAGGGAACAAGATGAAATTATTACAATATTTTAATTTATTTCACTTATTTTAGTGCTGTCAATAGATTAAAAAATAATGAATTAACCGCACATTTTTCTGTAATTAATCGTGATTGATTGCAGCTAACATTGAAGTTAATATATTGTTATATTGTAATAATACTTTGCTAAATGTAAAGCACTTTGTGATTTTATCTGTGAAAGGTGCTATATAAACAAAGCTTACTTACTTACTTACTTAATATAACATTTGATCTCCAAATTAATGTAGAAGCAACATAGGTAGAAAATATACAGAAAGGGAATAAAGTTATCAAACACTTTAAATATAGATTAAAGCTACAAAAGTTATTCAGTCAAGAGCAGTGAGTGATTTTCTCTTTTTCTTTTGTCCTTTGAAGTAACAATGAACAACACTTTCATGAACAGCATTTATTAATCTTAGTTAATGTAAATTTCAACATTTACTAATACATTATTAAAATCAAAGTTGGACTTGAGCTAACATGAACTGACAATGAACGTTATGTTAATAAATATTATTGTATTGCTTATTGTTAGTTAATGCATTAATTCATGTTAAGTAATGCGATTTGGATTTGTCATTTATATTGTTATTAAAGGTGCAAAACGCAAGTCTCTGAGTTTTTGCAGAACTACGCCCCCTCTGGCGACAAGCGAAACTGCAACCAGAGTTGTGCACGCTCATGGACCACACGCATCTTTTATTGGATATGTTTTGTTTCATGTTGTACTATTCTTCCGAACACAATTCCTAGTTTATGAAACTGTTCACTAACAATGGTAGTAAAACCTATTCTGATTGTACATGTATCTAGCTTACGCTAAAGCATTACACATTTTATGCATCGTCATTTGTTGTCATACATAGATTGGCCGTATCAAACATTAGAGACTGGACTATATCTTACCGTTTTATCAAGAAAATAGCCAACTGAGGATCCCGTTTGAGACCAAGAGCAGACCGGAGATCTCTTCATTTGTTGAATGCCTTCCCGAGGTTGACTCTCGTCTTACTCCGACGCCTGTCTGACTCCAATTTGGACCTTTTGGTGGCACTAGACAAAATTTTTATTTTCTTTACTTTACGTGGAGTTTGCGTTGGATTGGAATGGACTACAAGCCGGTCTCTTTGAATCCATCTTCTACCTTTGACGCACGAGTTGTCTTCGCTGATGCGGAGAATAGCGGCGCCGGCGAATACACAAACCTGCGAGACATAGCCTGGTGAGCGTGAACGCGCATGACGTCACGCCCAGTCTCAAATTTGAGCCCGAATCCCTCTTACATATTTTACTGTACAGGATTATAGAGGCAATCTCATTGCGCAGAGAAGGGCTCATTCAGCCCATCAGGCAGTTCTTTAAGCATGTATAGGATAGAAAAACAGGTATTTTTAACATGAAAAGTTGCGCAATGCACCTTTAATAGGTAAATTAATGTTCAATCTGTCAATTAATATCTGTCATTAGATACAGTGAACTTGTGATTCATCACGTTTCAGGTGGTGGTTGCCGGCCGTAATATTTTCAAGATATACGGTCTGGAGGAAGATGGTTTCGTGGAGCGTCTGAACCTGCGCGTGGGACGCAAACCCTCGCTGAACTTCAGCTGCGCAGACGTCATGTGGCATCAGATGGAGGAGAACCTGCTGGCCACCGCCGCCACTAATGGAGCCGTGGTGACGTGGAACCTGGCGCGCCCGTGCCGTAACAAACAGGAGCAACTGTTCACAGAACACAAGCGCACGGTGAACAAGGTCTGCTTTCACCCTACTGAGGTCAACATGCTGCTGTCCGGCTCTCAGGACGGGTTCATGAAGTGTTTTGACCTGCGAAAGAAGGAAAGCGTCAGCACGTTTTCTGGTACGTACAAACTTCTCTAAATCTCTGACTTTTCTACAACATCTGCACAAGCTGAAGCTTTTACTGCTTAGGCAATGCTAAAAAGTATTATTTTAAAGTAATAATTCACCCAAAAAATTACACTACGAAGCCATCCGAGCAACTATTTTCAATTTGAGAAGCAAATCTGGAGCTTCTTAGACGCTAAATAGATTGTTGAACATCATTCTGTGTTTTTGCAGGTCAGTCTGAGAGCGTGAGAGATGTGCAGTTCAGTATGAAGGATTATTTCACGTTTGCGGCCTCGTTCGAGAATGGAAACGTGCAGCTGTGGGACATCCGCAGACCCGACCGTTACGAGAGGATGTTCACCGCTCACACCGGCCCCGTCTTCTGCTGTGACTGGCACCCTGAGGACAGGTGTGTGTGTGTGTCCCTGTTGTCAATAATTGTATCCCTTTAAACTCATCTTTGATCACCAAAAATTACATATTTAAAAGTTTTTTCCTTGAAAAAATAATTTCTTCATGCCTTAAAATAGCTTGAATGTAACTCGACACCCTTGCCTCATTTAGTATATGTGGTACTATGAATATGCAAATTAGCCCCGCCTCCACTCACTCACTCAGCTCAGAGATC